TACATTTAAAAAGACGAATATGTCCTTAGACTTAAGTGATAGAGTTAACGTTTGTAAGGGTTAGAAACAAAGATGAAACCATAAATAAGAATTAAGAGGGTTTGAGAGAGAGAGAGAGAGAGAGAGAGAGAGAGAGAGAGAGAGAGAGAGAGAGTAATAATAAGAAAGTGAATAACTTTGTCAGGAGGATACAAGACAACAGAAATCATGTCAACTGTAGGATTGATTCCAAATGGGTCCCATGCTCAATCTTGTCAAATGTTAACTCGGTTCCTACTTTTGATGTTGACATCCATTTCTATGTCCCATCTCTTTATTATCTATCCATCTCTACCTCTTAAATTATATATATATATATATATATATATATATATATACTTTGTGTTGTTTTTCTTTTTAGTAGAAAAATGTATTGGTCTATTTCAAGATTAATAACAAAGCATTACATTCTTTTTGTTTTTGTTTTTGTTTTTTTTTTATTGTGATTTTGATTTTTGATAAAGAAATTATATTTAAGCTTTTAATATGGGCATGATGGGAGGAGATATGTATATGTTATGTGATGTGTTAGGTATCAAAGTGTTATATTTGATGTAAAACATTTTAGAATCTTATAAAGAGTTAAAGTCTTAAGATTCGTTAGAAATCAATATATTGGTTTCCTATGGAATGATCGGAGTTAGTGGGAACTCAAGGACTAACCGGTTAAAGAACGTGATCAGCAAGTCAAAAATTGAAAGATTGAAAGTTAAGTAGTCGATAAAGAGAACTAGTTGAAAAAGTGATTCGACGCACAAATGTTTCGATAGTTGATAAAGCTAGTGGGTAGTATACAGATCTCAGCTGCTTAAGACTAATTTAACAAATTAAGAGTTTGAAGTTGGAGCCCAAGTTTGACGTCTAGGTAATGACCAAGTTTTGTGTTATTCAATTCAATGCGGAAAAAAATAGCGTAGTCAAACTGTGGAGCTACGTGAAATCCCTGCCAAAACAAAAAAGAACCCCGATAGTATGTTAAAAGATGTAGGTTTCTGAAACAATATTTAATGTAACATGGTATGTGCTAACCACATTGTACAGAACCATGTTGCAATCAACTGTACATGGTAGCATGAAAAACATCAAGGGTCGGTTTGTTGCCTTTACTCCCTGAACAAGCCATTGTATGACCCACTACAACAAAACTGAGTTTATAGGACACCCCTAATCTCTAAGCGTCCCAATAGACTGTTTTATAAGACTTAATTTATATGACCAAAATATAAAGCGTTCTATCTAAAGGTGTTGTAATAAGTTTATATCACGCTTTTGGGTGTCTTAACAAGTTTTTTAGAACATTTTAAATACAAAGTATCGCATTAACAACTTTATAGGACACTTTTGATAAAGTGTCCTATAAACTCAATTTTTTATAGGACATTTGTTTTTATAGAACAGTTTCTCAAATAGTGTCCTATAAAGTTGTTAATGGGACGCTTTATATTAAAAGTGTCCTAAAAAACTTATTACGACGTCAAAAAACATCATATAAACTTATTACAACACATTTAGATAGGACGTTTTATTTTGTTGATCCTATAAACTAAGTCTTATAAAGAGGTCTATTAGGATGCTTAGAAATTGAGAGTGTCCTATAAATTCGATTTTGTTGTAGTGACTGTCCAATACTCACTCAAAGAAGTATAAATATTGGGGAGGAATAAGGAAGAAATAGTTCGAAGATCTCAAGAGATCAAGCTTTCAAGCATACACAAGTTCATTCCTATAACAGTTTCTTAAATCACAGATAGACAACTTATATACTTTGAGCGAATGAGATTAAACTTAAAATACATCAACGTTGTGACATTTTATTTAAACTCCAATCAATTGACAATTCAACGCTATATCCTGCCCATGCATGATTGTATTCATTGTACAAATATCAATGATAATTAAGATCTCATTTAAGGTTATATAGGGGGTGTTTGGGATTGCTTATAAAAACAACTTATTGACTTATTTCAGTGTGGTACCGGTAATAAACACTTTTAAGTGTTTGGATAAACAACTTATACCGGTGCCAAACCGGTAATAAGAAGTTTTTGAAGAAGTTAAACTATTATGACTTATAATAAGTTGATAAGTGTTTTTGTAAAAAAAAGATAAGTTGGTTCAAATAAGCAATCCCAAAAACCCCTATACCTAAAAGTCTCACATATCCATTCACTTGCCTATTTAATTCATTTGTATATCGTATACACACATGCAATTTTGTTATATTTAACATTACAACAAAATTGAGTTTATAAGACGTCTAAACTGTTTAAGTGTCATAATAGAGTGTCTTATAGGATTTAAGCTTATAGACTCAAAAAAAAACGTCATATTTAAAAGTGTAACAATAATTTAAAAGATGTTTTTGGTGTCTTGACAAGTTCCTTTAGAACCTTTTAAAATAAAGAGAGTGGTACTAATTATTTTATAGAACATTGTTTCAAAAAAAAATGTCCTAAAAATATGAGTTTATAGGACATTTATCAAAAGTATACTATAAAATAGTTAATATGACATTTTATTTTAAAAAGGTTCTAAAAACCTTGTTACAATGTCCAAAAGTGTTTTACAAACGTATTGTAACACTTTTAAATGAACACTTTATTCTTTGTTTTTATAAACTTAAGTCTTATAAAATAGTATATTAGGGCACTTAAATACTGTAGGCGTTCTATAGACCCAATGTTGCACTACAAAACAAATGATTTTCACCCACAAAAATCACCAAGGGAAATGTCCATCAGTGATTATCTATGGATCACCCAGAAAATACCAATGGTTCAGTTGAATTCAATGTTTTTCCGAGAAAATACCAATAGATAACCTAGGGAAATTTCCGCCAGTGATTACCTATTGGATCATCCAGAAAACACCAATGGTTCAGTAGAATTTGATATTTTTCGAGAAAATATCAACGGACCACCTAGAGAATATATGCGTAATCTATCACTGATTTAAATTATCCATCAACTTTTATGACGATTTTATGATAAATTATCCCAAAAAAATCCGTAAGCAAAAATCTTTCATTTAATAATAAAGGGTTTTTGTTGTGCAAGTTGTTTGTATTAATTTACTTCATATGTTTAATTTGAACCCTCTCCCCATTTTTTAATAATATAAAAATCAAATATTTCAATTACATTAAAAAAAAAATGTATGTGAATTTCATTAATATTATATTATATAATAAATAATAATATATTTTTAAAAAAAAGTATTATATGGTTTGTATGTGTAAGGTTGGAAAGACGGCTCAATGGATTGGAGAGTAATATCAGTATGCAACCCATGTGGGTTGGGTTCCACAACCCCTCCCCTCCAACCAATCGCAACACCTTTATACCTGCTACAGTTAAAATAGTCATTTCTCTAGTGTAATTATAATATTTTAATATATTTTTTAAAAATAAAAAGTTAGAATTCCTCTTTCTTACTTTCTTCGTTTTGAAGATAATTATGGAAAAAACTGTTGAAGCAAAATATTAACCCAAAATCTCCATTTTTCCCAATTTTAGAGAAGCCGTTGGAGATTCTCTTAGGGGGCTGTTTATCAAACACTTATCCGGTAAGTGTTTACCGATAAATTTTAACACTATTATGTACTTACAGGTAAGATTTTAGTCCACCAAAACAGCATCGTATGCAATAATTTATCCGGTAAGCGCTTACCGTGGTAAGAGTCGACTCCCTCACTTACCGGGTAGTAATATTTAGGTAAATCAAATTAGGAGGGAGAGAGAACTATTTTTGTCAAATTTCCCCCGTTATTATTACAATTTATTTGAATAAAAATCTTTTATCTTAAATTTTTACAGTCTGTTTTCATCAATAATGTGTTAGACATATAAAATTATATATATATATATATATGTATATATATATGTATAGACTTAGGATCATGTGAGACCAAAGATTTTTCGTAAGATCCGTAAGACCAATTCTCAACCTTTGGATTAGATCTACAATCGTCAGATGTAAACATTCATAAATACCACGAGACTTCTCAATAATTACAAAATTACCACCGTGCAACTTTAAACTATTAGATCATTAGCTTATAAAGTTGATCAATGAACATAAATTGGTCTTACGGGTTTCACGAAAAAGCTTTGGTCTTACGTGAACCCAACCCTATGTAATTAATATATAAAATACTGGTTTATTTAAATATATATAATTAACATGATAGAAAGAATAGTTTGAGTTTGGATATGGGAGATTTATATTCCACCCAATAAACACTCGCATAGTCGCCAAATGAGATAGAAGATGTGACCTTTGTGGCCCCCTCGCTTAACTTTCTTTACCTACCTTCTTTATTTATCACTCCATCTCAAATAAAACCTATTTAACTTAACAAGTCGAGTTTCGTACTATTAATGTTCGACTTGACTCGTTTGAAAACTCGATTAAATTTTTTAAGTCGAACTGTTCGAGCATACACTTTTTCTATCCAAACATGCTCATAATTAATCAAGAGTTTGGACACATAAACGAACATTGAGCTCGATAATTCAAAAAATATTTGAACTTCGAGCTTGAGCCCTACTTCGAAAAAAACTATTCGAGCTCGAGCATCGCATTAAATTTTTGAACCGGATTCAAAAGAGTTATAAAGAAAAATACACATTAATAAAATCAATTATTATTTTTATTCAATTTGGGCCTTACCTAAATGGGCTAATTCTTTTACTTTTTTAAATTTTGCTTAGTTTTTGAATTGCACTTTAGAAAAGAAATTGATCTGGTACATCATGATGCACTCTTTAGTATTGACATTCAATCAGATTGATTCAAGAGTGGAGATTTCTTCTTACGATTCTCATCATAACTTTCCTTCTCAACAGAACCCAAACCTACAACCATGTCCGGTTATAGCCAGAACTAAGACCACCCTAATCGATCACGTCTTCATAACCGAGCCCCGTCGTAACCAGTTTACATAAATATCATTAATTTCATTGGACCATAAAAGTTGATCATATCATTTATTTGTGTATAATTCCAGTTTCATTTTTATATGACACAACTTTCATATTAGAATTGGATAGACACCACGACCTCGACATCGCCCTTCTCGACCACAAACGTCTTCACGATCTTCTCGCATAAGGTAACGATTTCCACCTCGTACGTCCCTTCGAACCCTCGGAACGCAAATTCGCTTTTCTCGTTTACATGTCCGTGAGCATGAGAAAGCCATTCTTTCTTAAGTTCCAAAAACCGAATCCCGGCTTCGTTAACGTCCCCTTCGGCATTCACCAGATGAGAATTTTCTCGACTCATAAACAACTCCCAGAACCCCCAAAGCATTATACCCTCGACAGCAGGATGAGCGAAAGCCTCCCGCATCATAACCTCGAGATCGTCGGCTCGCACGTGCTCGTTCGTAGATGAAACGTCGAGTTCCGTGAACCAAATCGGGAGCCCGACGATTCCGAGTTTGTTGAGGGCAGCACACACGATGCCTCCCACCGGACACTCTATGTGTCCCTGAATCCCGATCCCACCCACGGGCGCACCTTGTTCTCCAAGATCAAGAATTTGTTCGATGTATTTTTCCGGGGATGATCGTGTATCACACCCATCTTCGACATGGTAATCGTTCACGAATAACGTAGCCGACGGATCTAACCGGTTTGCGCTTTTAAACATATTCGCTCGTGCATCTTTACCCAACCGGTCTTGGTAAAACGAACCGTGAAGCATCTCATTGTTCACATCATAATGCTTCATCTTACCTTTGTATCGGCTCAAAAGGCCATTTAAACGGTTTTCTACAGCCATCGCTAAGTCGTTTTTACTGAGACTTTTAATCCAGTTTTGAACCGTGTCTTCGACCTCCCAAAAGATGCAGTGCCCACGAACCAGAATGCTGTTATCATCACAAAACTTGAGAAGCTCGTCTGCATCGCGGTAGTTAAAGTTGCCACGTTGCGGTTCCGTCCAGTACCACTTGAGCTCGTTTCCAAACACGGCCCAGTTAAAATTTTGCAAGAAAAACGCAACGAAATCTTCGTTGTCAAGATTTGTTCGGCTAATGCACGAACCGATCGGGAAACTGTTCTGTATTTGTTTGATTTTCACCATCGTTCCATGCATACTGCTTGAGTCGGAGCTTGAGAATTTAAGAGTGACATCACGTTTACGAATCTGTGAACCAAATCGCAGCAATATAAGTGTAACTCTAGACTCGGGTTTTACCAAATAAACATATTAAACTTACGCTATGTTTGGCAAACTAACTCAAGCTAGTTGTTAACTGAAAAACGTATTGTTGGCTAATAAACTAGCTGTTAGCTAATAAATTAGTCATGTTTGGTGAAAACTAGCATATATGCTTGAAATGAAAAATTACAAGGGGAGTAATTGGAAAAAAAAAAAAAGCCCCTACGACTTATTAAAATGCTACTTGGACGTGGCTTTTCAAAAAGCTAGTTAGGGCTAACCAAACGCAACTTTTTCAATAAGCTCGAAAAACAAACCAGCGGTTGGCTAATAAACTACTCGTGTCTGGTAAAAAGTAGTTGATAATTAGATGACAATATAAAATGATCTAAAATGGCAATGTTGAAAAATTAATTGGAAAAATATAAGGAGCATAATTGGAAAAGGTGGAAGAAACCCCCCTGAAGCTTATTGAAACGCTACTTGAAAGTAAATTTTTAAAAAGCTAGTGTATGGCTAACCAAAAGGGGCTTTTTCAATAAGCACTAAAAACAAGCTAGCTTATGGTTGCATTGCCTTAACCATTACCTTATCAGTTTGTTGCTTTAATTGCTTGAATCTTGCCCGGCGATCAACAGCAAAGATTTGAAATCCGGCAACCATAAAACCGATTCCCGGAGCAGGACCTTGAATGTAAACCATCACTTTTCCGGGTTGTTTTTCAATTCTAAAAGACCCAGAAATTTCATGCCACCGGTCATCATTAATCTCAACTTGACCACCATTGACCCACTGGCTGTCGACTCCAAGAGCCACATTTACATTCTGAGGACCGGTGGCTCCATGGGTCAGTCGAACCCAAGCCGATACTTGATACGTGAGATGGAGCTTGATTTTATCCGTAATAATCTGGGCAGGACCCATCCAGGTCTGGGTGCGGTTGGTTGCATGAATACTGTGACCACTGAGTGGCTCATGGGGGCCAAGGGTGTCTCTAGCTGCCGGAGGGAGTACATGCGGTGAACCAGTTGCGACACGCAACACACAATTACCGAGTGGAAACCATCCGTTTGTTCCGTCTCGGAGATTGCTATTTGTAACGATATTAACTCCATAATCGGCATCCTGAAAATTAGGAACCACATTCTTTATATTCTTTTAGTGGAGCTAGTTTTCAATAAGCTCAAAAATAGCTTATGGCTAACCAAATGTAACTTTTTCAATGATCTCAAAAAACAAACTAGTTTATGGTCGCCAAACATGGCCTTAGCCAACAGCTGATTTATCAGCCAGATTGCCAAAGAAAGCCTTAATTGACCAACCTCAATATCCGGTGGAGGTGTGGGAGGGATTTTCTCCGCATGCTTAACCACAAAACTATCAACGAGAATATCAACACCGGGAGGTGGACCTTCTAGATATATCACCGTCTTCGATGGGGAACCGTTTAAAAGAAACTTTCCTTGCAGCTCTACCCACTCTTTGTCCGTTGCATTTACTCTTGAACAAAAACAAGTAGAACCAAACGTTATTAGTTGAAACACACACACACGATAATCTGTAAATAAGATTGAAATAGAAAACAGACTTGGCGATGGATATGTATTGTTCACGGGAATCGGGGGTCTGAACCCATAAGGTGGCTCGAACATCAGCACTTGTAACATTATTGCCGAAAATTCTCACTGTAGTAGTAACATTGTAAGCAAGCTTTCGCTGAACTCTTCCACTAATATCTTGTTGAATCCCGTTCCAATTTTGTGTGCGTTGTGTTGCCGATGCAAAAAGCTTTCCAGAAACGGGTAGGATTTTGCCATTTCCCATTGAGTCATGTATAGCAATTTTGCACCCTCTTCCAGACCAGTTATTTAAACCGTCATCAAAATATGGGTTCAATATGATGTTGTCGTGTTCAGCAGAGATACATCTTCCAATTGTAGCCTACAAATCAGCAGAATAATATGGGAAAATGAAAGTAAGGACATATAAGAGGTGCTGAAAGGATCTAGCCCCTAGGGTTCGGTTTAATGGGCTTAATAGCCCTACATAAGAGTGTTTGGTTGTGACTTATAAGTTAAGGCACTGGCTTATTCAGTAAGCTCCCTACCCCTTGTTGTATCCATATCAGAAAGTCTTCACATAAACAATTGCTCTACCCCTTGGGACAGATGTCAGGTCTGCATAGATCATACTGCCAGACCCCACCTGAAGGTGGGATATACTGGGCTCGTTTGGTTTGATTTATATTTAAGTAGAATTAATTGATGAGAAAAAACAATAAACTTACATCAGAACTAGCACAAGAGACTACCACAGATTCTATGAGAAGATTTACTCCAGGAGCAGGCCCTTCCAAATAAAACACAACTCGGTCAGGTTTATCCGACAACACAAACGTACCCTCTAACTTCTCCCACCTCTCGTTTGAAACCGAGGTCCTGCAAACACCACTGTTCTTAAGCATTCTGTAGAAGAAAAAAACAACAACAAAACACTACAACAAAATCGGGTTTATAGGACACTCAAAATATCCAAGTGTCCTAATAGATGGCTTTATAGGACCAAACATTTGTGCATCATATGTAAAAGCATTGCAATAAGTTTATAGTTCGTTTTGGGCATCTTAACAAGTTTTTTAGAATTCTTGAAATAAAACGTCTCATTAATTTTTTTCTATGAAATTATTTGGAAAAATGCCTTGTCCTATAAAAAGACATGTTTATACAAAGTGTCCTATAAAAAACCTAATACAACACTTTATTTCATGATGGAATCATCAAAGATTTGACCTTTTCAAACTCTGCCTGTAATTCACATCCAAAAGCCTCATGTAAACTTATTGCAATGCTTTGCATAAGATGCACAATTGTTTGGTCCTATAAACTTACTTCCTATAAAGTGGTGTATTACGACACTTACCCAATTTTGTTGTAGTGAAAGAAACAATTTAAGACTGTTTACCTTGTGATGGACATATATTTGGTTTCTGATCCACGGTATTCAAGTTTCAGGGTCGCGATGACATCAGCACGACCTTGAAGATGTGGGCCCGAAACTCCAACACGGGCACAGAGTGTGTAAGTTAAACCAGGGGAAACTCTGCTCGTGATATCTTGTTCCAACCCTTGCCAACATTCTTTCCTATTTGCAATGGCGGCATAACGACTGCATGGTTTTGGTGCTTGTTCTTTGGAGGTCTTGACCTCAGGTGAAACCACGACGCCATCACAGCAGTTTGTGTACCATGAATGCAAACCATTAGAGAAATCATGATTTTGTATGATGTTAGACATAAGGCTGCTGCCTGCAATGTTGAAGTCCTCCGGTTTCTGTAAATCAAGCAACAGAAGTGAAAGGCTGACATAAACCAAACCAAACCAAACGAACCCGATATCCTAGCTGGAGGTGGGGTCTGGGGGTAAGATGTACGAAGACGTGACCTCTATTCTAAAGAGTATAACGGCCGTTTCCGTGAAGACCCCGACCAACGAGAACTGTTTGAAAGGGAGAATATAGATATGCTAAAATTTGAAAAGATAAATATGAGTTAGTAATAGCAATGAAAGGCTGAAATGGTTTGGTTGAAAGGTTAGCATGAGAAAGCATATTCTAATTAGATTGAATTAGTAAGCCTTTACATCGTTTAGATTAAATGAAGTATTTCATTTGTATTATCAAATATCCCAAATACCCTTCAACAAAAATGAAAAAAGAGGACATATATGAATCCAAATCAACAATGTCATATTTGAGCTAAATAGCGTCAATATATTAGTAATGATCATATGATGGGAAGATATGAGATTTCAACTCGAAAAGTTTCCAAAAGAATAAATATTCCAATTTTCATCACACATCCTAAAAACGAAATTTTTGAAATTTTAATGGACAAAATTTATAAGCCCTTACATGAATAGTAAGTGCTAGCTCCGTCCCACCAAATTAAGTCTAACCAAACAAGCGTTTTGTCTGTTAGTCGTATGCCTTAAGTATCCCACCATGATAAGGTCAAATTAGCATGTGTTTATGTAGTTATTGATCAAAAAACATATCTATGGCTTAGGTAGAAAACAGTTTTTTTGCCATGCCATCAATATTTGTATTTGTATGATTAGAATAACATGTTAACTTGGCTTGTAAATTTCACAAATCTAAAAGATTGCATACTTTGGACATCCCAATTTTGTAATCTTCAAACTTTATGACGAATTAGTACCATAGCAATTCCTAGATACACAAGACTAAAGGGTTGTTTACTAAGTACTTACAGCCTCAGGTAAGAGATGTTTACCCGGTAAGAGATGATGATCTTTACCATACAACCTTACCATAAGGTTTTAAAAACCGTAACCTGGCCATGAGGCGTTTTCCCTTGCCGAGGTGAGGTGTAAGCCTCAAGGCGGTCCGAGGCTTAAATATTACACACACACACATATAAGGGTTGGGTTCTGGTGAGAATGAAGTTTATGTTGAGAAGGGTAAGAAAGGATCTTCCATGCTTGGATCAATCATCAGTAATGAGATGCACCATGAGAAGAACAATTCATGGGGTCGGGTGAGATTAAAAGTGATCAAGGGTCCAAATCCCTTCTTACGCTTCTCACCTTATATTCTCACACGATCCTTCATTATACATATGATACAATATTTATACAGAATATATACACAAATAGTATAATATAATATATATCATATATATACTACTAAGTATATATACACGATATATACATATTATTGTAATATTAAATCGATATGTATTGTAAATAATTAAATAGGTATGGGACTTAAACTTGTGGATGTAAATTTCAATTCTCATGTCTACTCCACAAACCACGTTGCTCAATAATTACCTATCTAAACCATGTAGATGAATAGGAAATTATGTAGTATAAATACCCCTTATGTAAAAGTAAAAACGTACTTCAATACACTTACATAAGTGTTTCATTTTCTCCAAGTTTTTCTCCCTTTTCTTTCTTCACAGATTTCTTTATTTAATTACTAATCTAGTGATAATCTTAGTTAATTTATAACATGTTATCAGCACGAGAGTTCTAATCAAACAGATTGAAACAAGCAAAGGCAAGTTTACCTTAATCAAGAACACCAATCAAGGTATGTATGTCCTTAATAATATATGTTAAAAAGGATAAACAACATGGAAGTCGATGACTTCTAATTATGGACATTATGACTACTAACATCCCAACTCTTATTTAAGCATATACCAACCTTTATTTATGCTTTTATGTTTATACTAACTTTTATTTATGCATATGTTTATTCTTATGCTAATTTTCATTTAAGCATACCAACATTTATTTAAAAAATTTATATCATTACTTCATTAGTTTTATCTTAATGTCTACCAACCTTGATATTATATCTTTAATCTTGATTAATGTTATGTATTAACTATCATCTTTATTTACAAAATCATTTGCAACGGCTATATGTAACGGTAACAAACACATTTTCCGACGACTATATTTTACCCTATAAATTAAAAGTTAAGTTCTCCCCAACATACTTACTCTTCTTTTCCAATTTATTTGTTAAAAGAACAAAAAAAATCTGAAGATGCTTCATCCAGTTCTAATTTTCGTCCTTGTGATACTTACACTACTAATCATTCCTTTCAGTAATTTCCCACCTAATGGATTTTATTTTTTCTTAAACATGTTTGTATTTATGGTTCTCCCACTTCTCTGTATTGCAATACTTGTTAACATAAATGGATTCTCGTTGAATTTTATTTTTTCTTCTCGTTGTTTGATAGTTACAATATGTCGAACCTTGCAAAGATTGAGTTTACAGCCCTTAACTTGAATGGAAAGAATTACATGTCATGAATTATGGATGTTAAAATGTATCTCGAATCTATGGTCATTTTAGACACTCTAAAGGAAAGCAATAAATGTTCGTCGCAAGACAAAGCAAAAGCCAACATTTTTCTTTGGAAACATGTTGATGATAATCTATATGTTGAAATTTGAATATCTCACAGTGATCCAAGCATTCTGTGGAAAGATCTTAAAGATAGATTTGATCACCAAAAGATTATTTTACCTCCAGCTCCTAGAGATGAATGGAGAACCTTGAGGTTTCAATATTTTTAAAAAGTAAATGACTATAGCTCCGTGTTGTCCAGAATATGTTTATAACTTAAGTTTTGTGGACAAAGTATTACTGATGCAGATATGTTGGAGAAACCTACTCCACTTTTCATTTATCAAATATTACTATGCAAAAACAATATCGACTACAGAAATTCCAACGATATCATGAGCTTAACTCATGTTTACTTGTTGCAGAAACAAAAATAATGAGCTTTTGATGAAAAAACATCAATTTCGTCCAACAGGTTCATTAGCACTTCCTGAAGCAAATGCTATAAATAATTATGGTCCTAGAAACAATTTTATGTGGTTGAGGACGAGGACGTGGTCATTTTAGTCAAAACACTTTTTATGGTCCAAACCGTAATTTTGGCCGAGGCCACCCTTATGATTGAAGTTGTGGAAATTACCGTGGTCGTAGGCAAAGAGCAAATAATTATCATATTCCACAAGGCTATAAGACCCAACCACATAATAAGCTCAAATTGACAAAGCATGATGCTGAAGCAAGTCATTCTCAGAACCCTGAAGGTTCTTGTTACAAATGTGGTAGCATAGACCACTGGTCAAGGACATTCCGCATACCTCCACATCTTTATTAGCTCTATAAAGAATCTCTCAAAGGAAAGGAGAAGAATTTAAACCTTACGGATAACTTGGAGTTATCACACACTAATCTAAATGTTTTTGATTTCCTTAACGATATAAACCTTTGAGTTATATGAATGTTGATAGTCTTTTTAATCTAATAACTATGTATTTCGTTTTCATAACTACGTAATCTCTTCTTTTAATAACTATGTATTCCCTTTTTCATATAAAATATTTTTATAATAACATTGTCCTATTATTTTGATTCTTATTGTTATTATTTTTATACACTCACAGTTTGTTTCATATTTGAAGTTTGATATGAATTCCATAGGAGCACAACATCAAGCAAATGTTAGAGATCTATGTATACCGGATAGTGGTACCACAGACACCACCCTGAAAGCTAAGAAACATTTTTCTAAATTAAAACCAACAAAAGAAACCATACATACTATGGGGTTGTTTGGGAGTTGCTGAATGGTTTAGTGCAAAATGATTAAGTGGTTAGAATGATTAAGAGGCTCTCATGATATAGTGCAAAATGAAATATAATTGTTTACAATGAAAATAAGCGTTGAATGGTTAAGGGAGGCCGAGGATACAAAATCATTTAGAGGGTTTTAGAACCATTAAGAGGCAGACTTTTTTTTCCAAACAAGATTCATCTCTTAATGATTCAGATGGTGCCTCTTGATAGAACTATTAAAAGGTAAAACTGTTTAAGCGATTACTTGATAAGTAAAGGTTATACAAAAATCTTATTTGTCCATGTGTCTTTATTAAGAAAACAACATCCGAATGTGTAATAATAATTATCTATGTTGATGATCTAAATATCATTGGGACAAATAAAGAAATCCATGAAGTGATTGCACTTTTGAAGGAAGAATTTGAAATGAAAGACCTTGGAAAAAAATAAATATTGCCTTGGTTTACAAGTTGAGCACACGCATAATGGAATACTTGTGCATCAATCAAATTATGTTGAAAGGTCTTGAAACGTTTCAATATGGACAAAGCAGATCCTTCAAGCACTCAATGGTTGTTAGATCACTCAATATCGACGACAATCCATTTCGAGTCGAACGATCCTTACCGTGCCATTTTGCTAACCGAGAATCTTACCAAGTGAGGATAGTGACTCTTACCCGTTTAGCGCTTACCGTGTAAGAGACGCTTATATTATGCTATTTTGATGACCGAGAATCTTATCTTATAAGGTAAGTGAGGGTGGTGAGTGGTGACCACTTAGTCAGTAAGCGCTTACCTAGCTTGTGTTGATAATTAACCCCTAAGGTAGATTTTTCATCAGGACTAGTAGCTACTATAGATGGGGGACGGTTAAAGAGTTGACACAAAGGATAACAATGTCTTGGCATGGTCGGAGTGAGTGATATGGTCCTAGTACTTTTTAATTGGTTTGGTGATTTAGTATTTTATTCATTTTTTCTTAACATTTGCCCTTATTATTGTGGTTGTTTACTATCTTAGTAGCGTGCTTGCACAAACTCCCTTTCTACTACTTTTTCCTATGTTATGCTTATGATGTCTTCAAAATCCTCAAAACTATATTTTTTTGACAAATTCTCTCTCTCTCTTGTCCCTCCAAAACTTTTTCGCATTTTTGGGGTCTATATGGAAACATCTCTATCCCTCGCCCCCGGGGGGTAGAGGGAAAGGTCAGAATATATATCTTAATCCCCCTCCCCTTACCCTGCTTACCAATGAGTGAGATATACTAATGTTTTGGTTTACTTTACTATATGTTAGCCACCGAGGATCATCAATCAGTTATACAAAGTAGTGGCACACATAAGTCTTCATTCCTATCCACCACAAGTTATTTAACACTTCCTTCACTCATTTTATGATCCAAGTCATTCAACACAACACACTAGATATTACGGATTTAACATATCAAACATACAACGCAAAGAATAGAATAGGAACCTATTTTAACTTGTAATGTCGTTAATCGGAAAGCACTTGTTGACTTATTTGCATCATCATTTGACCTTAATAAAATATTATACTACAAATTACAAATGAAGTAGGTTGCAGCTGCTCTTTAGGAGGGCTCCCTTGCCTTTTAGATGTATTATTGGTTTTCTTTCTATTTCATTTGCCAGGCAGGTGCCGGCTCCTTTCCGGAAAAAAATCTCGAGTGGCCTTGGAGGGACTTGACAAACAAAAAAGGAAGTGAGTTGGACAAAAAGAAGCAACTTGCGGTGACCTAAACGGAGAAGCCCCAAAGGTCCAAGCCTCATTGCTACTGAGCTAACCCCTCAAGGTTTAAGATTCTATCTTTTGTAATACTTCTCTTAATTATATGTTCTTTCATTTTGAGATCCCATTTTAGTTTTCAAGTACACACAAATAGCACAGAACAAAAATGTTAAATGGGTACACACTTAATTATCCTATCACATCCTCAGCCATGATTTAGTAATAATACTTTTTTCATCAATCTTGCTGGAATCAAATTACTTCAAAGAATGAGCAAATACCCAAAACGGATAAAATATAAGCAAACTTGAATTCATCTATCAACAATGAAGCAGGAGATATTGATGATGAATAAACACGCGCACACACACACACCTGATTGGCGAAGTTTTTGTCGCCATTGATGTTTGATGGGCTCTCCATAGTTTGCTTCAATCCCTTCGATCACATAAAAGAAATACGAACATCGATTAAAAAAAGGAAACACGCAAATGTAATAATTAAAGTTAAACGAAAGGTTTACCTGCGATTTATGGAGCTTTCTATGATCTTTGAAGATTTTGAACAAACCTGCTGACATCTTTCCCATTTATATAAGCAGATATTTGCGTAAATTTTAGGAAAAGATCCAACAACCCAATCAAACTTCAAAGTCGTTAAGCAATTTCCAATGGAGAAACTAGGGCTTGTGAAGAGAATAGATGATGGGCTTCCTTTGTCTTGCAGATTGGTTGAACGCTAGCTGACACCAGTACATGCTTGAAGTGAAATAGAAGATTTGATTTCTTTTTTCTTTCTTTTCTCTCTTGCCTTCATTAGATTCAGGGCTTGGTTCGGAAGCAAGACCATGGCGGTTTTTGAGTTTAACATTTCAAGATTTCGGTGAACCACAGCTTTCCTTCTTCCTTCTGCTTTTTCTTATTTTCTTTTAGTTAAAATGCAAGCAATATTTCTTAATAGTGTTTTATTTTTATTTTTCTTTATAAAATATACTCTTGCAATTAGGGGTGCTCAAAAACCCGATGAACCCGATGAACCCGACCAACCCAACCCGAATTTTTAAAAAAA